CAAGAACTTGTAACGTTAAACAATTTCATTGTTTTCCTCGCACCTTGTTACTTGATCTTAAATGTTTACGCAGCTAAGAAGCCGTTGAGAGACAAGTGTTGAAGAAATTCACTTAAGGAAACTTTTTACCAAAAGGACAGTTGTAGTTATTTCAAATGAAACGTTTCAAGACAATTGAGCGTTTAAAGATTTAAAACTGACAGAATGAGTAATTTTCTGTGGGTTTATATGAAGACAGAAATAACCAAGAGATTCTTTCATAGTCGTAAGCCACACAATTACGGGGAAATTTAAATGTTTCAGTTTCTAAAGCTATTTTAGTCTTTTATTGCGATATTAAGGGAAAACCCCAAAAAACTATCAGAGGATGGTGGAAATCAATAAAAAAGCTGTTTAAGTATTTCATTTTCATGAGCATTAATATTCTTTGTTTTTTTGAGTTACCAAAGAGGCACAAGTTGAAGCAGCCGAAGGAAACCAGGACTTGCCCGGCAACAGTTCATTAGGTGACAAAAACAGTTAAATGCTTTTCAGAAATTGTTGACTTGCACAGTACAATACAATACAGAACAGAGTTTTTTTTTTTTTTTTTAACAATTTTATTTACAAGACGATCACTTACACTACTTACAGTATTAATTACACTTACATTGTACTTGTTACTTACACTACTGATACTTATACTTACACAAATTATGCATACACTACATTACGATACATGTATTACAATACTATTAACATTAATTTAATTTACGGTTGGCGTGTTTACAAAGTTCTTTTCAATTAAAAGACAATCACAAGTAAACATACAGGTCTCAGAAATGCTACATTTCTTTGGATATTTACTTTTAATATAGCTTAAACAAATATTTATGAAATTAAGTATAAGTCTAACCTAAAACAACAGCAGCATGAAAAATTAAAGTAAAAAAGCCCACGTGCGATAAAATTTCGGAAGTTCTTTTTTTGCGGTCGCGATCTCTTTTAGGATTTCAAGTTTTCCCGTGATGAACAGTAGGAAGATTTGAAAATCTAAGATGTCTCCGCAAAGACTTGTGCAGAAAATGTGATATTTGGCTAACAAAAGGCAGTAATTTAGGACTTGCCAATGCTTTGTCCAATAATGCCAGCCATAGAGTATATGACTTGTGGATAACGTTATTGTTTCATTTGTTTTTTGGTGCCACCAGTCTTGAAACAAAATCCAGAAGTCGAGTATTAGTGTGCAGTTTATTAATAGGTGATGCAACGTTTGTTTTTCTGTATTGCATAGGTTGCATAAGGGGCTCTCTGAATCACTTTATACTGAAACATGATTATTTTAACTTCGTTTGTAACTTTAAATGGCATAAGATAAACGTTCTTGATGGTAGTTTTTGTAAATCCGTGGCGTAGAATTTTGGTTTCGGCAGTGGGAGGAACAAATACAGTGTTTAAAAGAGAAGAGTAAATAGAACTGGTTCTTAGGCTGCTTACAGTAGTGTTCGCGTGTGTGACGTTTGGAATAGGGTTTGTTAGATTAGCTTTCCAGTCTTTTGGGATTGCGTTGACCAAGCCATAGTATGTGGTGAAAGGCACATTTAAATTAAATTTTGTGACAAATTCATGCCATTTCAAAAATTTCTGATTTTGGTTTAAAATGTCGCTTATCTTAGTAATACCGGCGTCATACCAAGTTTGGTAAAAGACAGGTTTTTTTCCTATAAGAATTTTTCTGTTATTCCACACTATTTCGTTTTTAGGATTTGTTTTGGAATCGATGCCCGTTGAGATTTTAAACTCACACCAATAATCTTACACTTTTTTGTAAAATGCATAAAGCTTATCATCGAGGTCTAGTGTGCTTAGTGTAAAGTTGCATTTTGTTAGAAAAGCAAGACCACCATGTTTGTGTAAGAGCTGGTTAGGAATAATTTTCCAGGAGGCTTGTGAGTCATCTTGAATTCTGTTGACCCAAGCTATTTTGAGTGCTTTTTCCATGATATTAAAATCGCACATTTTCAAACCGCCATCTTTCTTTTCTCCAATTATGGTGTTTCCTTTTATTTTAGGGGGTTTTCCTGCCCAAATAAAGTTGAAAGTTAGCTTATTTATTTCTTGGATATAGTGATCTGGAACAGGGAGCACGGAGGCTGAGTAAATTAACTTAGATATCCCAAGTGTTTTGACTATGTTTATCTTTCCATAAAGAGTTAGATTTCTCCGTTGCCAAGTGATTAGCGTTTTCTCGAGATTACGTATTTTTTCACCGAAGTTCAGTCTATTAGCACTTTCTTGGTTATGAGAAAAAAAGACACCAAGGATATTGACAGGTTCTTTGGGCCATTTAAAACCAAAGAGTTCATCTGTTCTGTCTTTCCATTCGCCTAACCACATTGCTTCGGTTTTAGTTGTGTTTATTTCTAGGCCAGAAAGTTCTTTGAACTCATTTAAGACCTTCAATAGACTCACGACGGAATCGAGGTCACGAACAAATACTGTTGTGTCGTCGGCATATTGACTTATTTTAAGCTCATGCTTGTTGACTTGGATACCTTTAATAGTAGGATCATTTTTTATGGCTTTAGAGAGGAGTTCTATGCCGAGAACGAAGAGAACGCCAGACAAAGGGCAACCTTGCCTGACTCCCCGCTGTAGGGAGAAAAAAGTTGAGGCATGACCGTTATTCAGAACACAGCTAGCAACATTATTATAAAAATTTTTTATCTAATTTTGGATGTCGTGGCCGAAGTTGAAGAGCTGCAAAGTTTCTAAGAGATAGTTCCATTCAATGGAATCAAACGCTTTTTTGAAGTCCAAGAAAATGGCAATACCTTTTTTATTTGTTTTATCTGTGTAATGTATTAGGTCATAAATTAGCCTTATATTTTCACCAATGTAGCGGCGTTTAACATAACCGGTTTGATCAGGGTTTATTAAAGTTGGCAAGACATTTTCGATTCGCTTGGCTATAACTTTAGTGAGAATCTTGTAGTCGACGTTGAGAAGTGAGATGGGCCTTAGATTTTCCAGAATAGTTTTATCCTTAAATTTTTTTGGGATAAGCGAGATTATTCCTCGTCTTTGACTTATAGAAAGCATGCCATGTTGAGAAGCAAAGTTGTAGCTCGCTACCAGATCATGGCAGATGTCGGGCCAAGAGAATCGGTAAAATTCAGCAGGCAGACCATCACTGCCCGGGGATTTCTTATTGTCAAAGTCTTTGAGTGCATTTTGGCATTCTTCTACCTTTACCAATCCTTCACAAGAATTCTTTTCTTCTTCACTTAGTGTGGTTACGTTTTCTGGAATAAAAAAAGGCGAGTTTTTAAAATTTTCGGGGTTGATATTGGTGGAGCGGTATAACGACTCATAGAACTTTTTTTCTTCTTCTAAGATATCGAATTGATCTTCTATATAACAATTATCCCCAACTTTGAGTTTTGAGACTGTTTTAATATCATGATGTCGTTTTTCTAAGCTGTAGAAGTACTTAGTGTTGCGTTCTCCTTCTTCATGCCATCTTACTTTGCTTCTTAGGATTGCACCTTGAGTTTTAATCAACATGATTTTTTTAAGATGTGATCTGGCACGTTGAAGTTCTAGTAAGATGTTTCTGTCGTGCGGGTTATTTTCCGCTCTGGATTGGAGGTCGTTTACTTTTTTGTGCAGTAATTTTTTCTTCATCTCGATATTTTTTTGCTTTTCGTTTGGAGTACTTGATCGTGAAGCCTCTTATCTCCATTTTTATGAGGTCCCATTTTAAACTTAAATCATGAGTCTCGTTGTATTTCTCTTTAAAAATTGGAATGTTTAGCTTAATTGCTGTTACGTATGCTTCATCTTTAAGTAAAGCTGTATTAAATTTCCAGAATCCCGGTCCTCTTTTTTGGTTTAGGAGATTAGACTGTAGAACAAGTGAGACAGCAGAGTGGTCAGATTCGGGTGTGTGGATGATGTCACACTTCTTTGCTAATTGAATTAACTCCTGCGAAACTAAGAACAAATCTAAGCGGCATTGAATTTTAAACGATTTAGTTCTCCACGTAAAACACTGCTTATCATTGTTCAGGATTCGCCATATATCACTAAGGTTATACAAATCACAAAGCTTGTTAATTTCTTGGATGACAGCTGCCTTTTTAGACACAGAATTTCCGCCTCTTTTATCATTTGGAGTGAGTGCGCAATTGGAATCTCCACCAATTACAATTGTATCTTGCGCGAATTCCTCGAGTTGTTGGTATAGTCTTTTGAAAAAGGAAACTTGCTGAGCGACATCGTTAGGCGCGTAAATGTTGACGAGAACAATAGCTTTCTCTTCAAGTGACAATTTTAAAATAATGAACCTTCCTTGTTTGTTTGGAATGAATTTTTCATTTTTGAAATTCACAGAGGGATTAATTAGTGTGATGATACCTTTACTGCGGTTTGTGCCGTGGCTAAAGAAAGCTTGCCACCCCATTCGTTTTCCCAGATGGGTTCAAGATTTTTGGAGCAGTATGATTCTTGCAAAAATATGATATGATGATTTTGTTTGTGTAACCATCGAAAAACGGTTCGACGTTTGATCGATTTATTAAGACCTCTAACATTTAATGACAGGCATTTTAGGTCAAAAGCAATGGCAGTATTAACGGTATTCATTTTGTTGGCGATTTAAAGAAACACAAGCCAGGCGGAGCGATAAGTAAACACTGATTTCTTCCGACCGAATTGTGTTGATTCACAACAAATTGGGACATGAACCAATTTGTAATTTTCGCTGATGGGCTATTACGAGAATGTGAACGAATAGAAAAAGAAGGTGGTTGTTGCAACCGAAGCGTGTTGGTGTAACATGTAAAGCAAAGAAAGTGAAGCATAATAAACTTAAAGACTACAACAACTACATAGTGCTTATGTAATAACATGGACAAAAAGGAAATTTGGATACTTAGCTCGATGAGATAGAGTCACTAACCCGGCACAGTTTTCCAGGCTTCTTGTCGACTTTGAATGTCTTCAATAAGATAACAAAATTAAGTAGAAGCTACTTGATATCCAACTGGAATATTCGAGATGTTAAAAACATTGTTATCAATAAAGAGAGATCTGTTGACTACCTTCGCGACGCGACCAGCTTGTTTAGCAGCAAACATGGATTGTATAAGGGTTTTCCTTTCTTTCTGGATTTCTCGAGCAAAGTCTTGGGTAATGTATGCCTCACTGTGTCTGGCTGAGGACTTGATCCGGTTTTTAACATTGAATACATCATCCCTATCTTCTCTCACAGCAAACCTAGCGATAATCGGACGAGGGCGAGCAGGAGTAGCTCCATTGCTTTGTGGCTTGCCAACGCGGTGGACGGCATGAAAACGTATATGCTGGATGTTCATTTTAAGATCATTTTCTAGAACATCAAAGATGATATTCTGGCAATTTTCACCTCGACTTTCGGGGATATTCATGAAACGCAAGTTTTCTCGTCCCGTATAGTTCTCAAGAGCGACGAGGTTCTCCTGTGCTTCTTTCAAAGCGGGCTTAAGCTTCTCATTCTCGGCTTGGAGCTTTTCCAGATCAGCTTTTAGGCTTTCGATTTCCGCAGACTGCTCCTCCATCATTTTTTGGTGAGTGCTTTTTGAATCTTTTAAGGCTTTGGACTCTTGCTGTGGGTCCTCGATGCTTGCCCACGCGAGGTTCACAGATTTCTCTAGCTCATTCAGTGTTGATTTGATGACATTGATTTCGTGTTTAAATTCACACGTAAGCTCTGAGATCTGTGTGTGTAGATTGGAGAAATTGTCTTCCATACGAGATTCTATGGCACTTAATTTATCAAGGAGTATTTCCGTAGAACTGAGCGAGGCGGTCTCCTGGTTTCTTTCCATTTCTTGGCTCTTCTGTTTGTTTCGTTTCGGAGTTGGCCTGTCGGCGGAGCTTGAACTTGACGAGCGTTCGGAGCGTTTTGACATGAGAATAAGCAGCGAGCAACAATTGTTTCAATTACCTGGTTGTGTCGATGTTAAGAAAAAGACATTTCTGGTTACATTTGGGCGAACTTAAATGGCCTGGTATGACTCTTCTCAACTAAGGAATCACAGAGCGCGAAGAACACGTCCGTCCGCCATGGTTCCTTCCCAGACCCCCTACAGAACAGAGTTTACCCCGATGATAGACAGTAATTATTAAATATGTTGTTAATTAACTTATCCTTCTAAAATTTTCCCTGGTCCATTAGGTCTAAATACTCGCGGCACTCCTCACTTGGTTGTCGTTGTTATTTCCCCGCCCATAAGATATGAATGAATAAGTGTGACAAGTTCAATGTCTTATATGTGTACTTGATCATAGGCCAGATATCATTTCATTGGATGGACGTAAATTTTTACTTAACTAAACTATTAACACTCCTTCCTTTATCTGCCCCCGCCTAAACGAAAACTTATACTTAACTAAACTGAGCTAAACTTAGATAGACAACCGACCTTTTAGGTGCACTGAACTAAGCTTAACCAAGAACGCTTTAGATGAGATACAACTTTTGGTCATAATTTCAGGGGCAACCAAAAGTGAAGCTACCTCAAGTGCTAAAGGAGTGGGTTTTAAAGCTTCGTTGTCTGTAGCAGGCAAGTAGGACTGACTTTGGTTAAGATCAAACATATTCATCATAGGAGAAAATCTCTAGTAGACTCCATACAGTAAATTGTTACATGACCTACGTGGTCCTACCTGGGAAAAGTAAACAGAATCTAAGATAATAAAAACATAAATAGTAGCCACAATATGATGATGTTGATGACCGTGAAGACAGTGATGACGATCATTCAAACCCCTTTTTTTTTTTAATTTTCGACTTGGAGAAATTTTAGATCGGCAGTTCCGCAAGTACAGAACAAAACTGTACATAGTATGGAAGTATATTGTAATCATAAATCTGGTTTATTAATTAAATTTTGGTTTGAAATGAATTAATAGGCAGCCACATCTAATTCAGTGATCTAATGCTTGAGAACTCATCAGCAGTAACAATCACGAACAAACAGGGGTGATCGTATTTGACGTTCTATACAAAGGAGGTTAACTTCTATAAATGTATTATTCTTCATTGTTTAAAGGAAAAGTCCAAAGCACAACCCAATATGTTTGATTCTTTCCTAATTTTTAGATACTTCGGGAGGGAAAGATTCAGCAAACCAAGAAAAGGTGGATTTGGAGGATGAGCTTTTATCAGGTGAGAGAGATAAAACAGTAAATGAATTGCACTTCTTGAGTTTGTGAGTGAAAAAAGACCTATGAAAATAAATGAAACACAAACAACTGAATCATTACGGCTAAATGTTTCCTAAACTTAAAATAAAATACTTTTCTTTATCATTCCAAGGTCAATTTGGATTCAAGAAGGAGTCAGACGACGATGATGGAAAATCAACAGGTACAAGTAATTAGGGCAAACGTAGAATGTGTGTTAGCTTAAACGTCAAAACACGGGAAACACGTTGCAAAACAAGTCGGCTTCTCGAAGATTGAAGAGAGATGATCCCTTTTAGAGGGTCAATATTTAGGATAGAATAAAGAAGAAATTATTTTACAGCCTAAACCGGCACGATAACCATGCGTTTTACATTTTTCACTTTCCAAACTGATTTGGGTCTTAGATATTTTTACACCTAAGGAAAAAACCTCGCATATATTAGGAGATGAAGAAAACAAAAGTTGTGAAAAATAACGAGTATTATTAATATTTACATGTATTGGTATTTTAGTTGGTCAACAGGCCTCCTCAACAGCAGCTGTTGGAAGCCTGGACTTTGCTGATAACGGTTTATCAGGTGAGAAAAAGAAACAAGCATCTTTAGATTTCTTTTTAGAATTAACAATAACAAGACAACTAGAACTGAAATTTTGTCATCTATCAACTGAGTTGATAGTGAATCAAAGCCATTCGCTCTGACGAAAGGCTAACGCTCGAAATGTCAGCTTTAAAACTCTTTACGGTTGCTTATTGACGTTATCAACTCAGTTAATTACCCTGTTATACTCTCCCACCGATGCAGCACCACAGTTTCTCTAGAAACGTACCCCCTTTATCATTTTGTTGACTAAGATTACCAAAGCGAATATTCTTGGTACCTCGACAGTCTAACAGACCAGTTAACAATCGCATTATCACAAGTTTAGTCCATGAGTTGCCTCCTTGATCAGTTGATGACACAAAAAAGAGTGAAAACCATTTCGTTGTAATTTTATTGACAGACAAAAGTAAAGCTACTCCTGTTGAGGAAAAAGTGGATATAAAGGATGCTCCTTTAGTAGGTAAGTTAGGAAGCACAGAGAAATCAAAGTCCTTAAAAGACTGAATTAAGTGGAATTTCATATACAAAGATTATTTTCTGAAAATCACCTGTGCGCGTATTTCACCAAGTATGTGGGGTGACTGGGCGGACTGGATTTTGACTAAGGAGTTTTTGAATATTGAGTTACCGAGACGAAGTCAAGGTTTATAAAACGAAAGAAAAAAGAGCTTCAAACGCTATTACATGTTACCCCTGGGTTCAAACCATTTACTGTGTTACGTTCGCTTGGACGAGAGAGCAAAAGACTTACGAACGACTACATCACCTACGCAAGCACTGTCAGACGAATACCCCAACAACTTTTGTTTAATCTCTGCTGTAAAGATCACAACCTTGTTCCGGCCGGGCTCAAACTTAAGTCCCCGTTGAACACACAAGAGGTCATCCAGATCGTCACAGCCACCTGCAGACGACTGTCAAAGCGCGGCTAAATGATTGCCACAGAAGACTCAAACGCTACAAAAACAAGACACAACAACTACATGAAAACTGAAACAACTGATACCTACTGAATTACTTGACACTGTTTCGACTATTACCGACAAACGAGACAACAAAGCGACTGAATGTGCTCGTACTGGGCATCAACAGAAACTGACAGGACGTTTACGCAACAAAGAACAGATGCGAAGTAAACCGGACGACAACTAGGTAAGGAATATCTCTTCCCGTCCCTTAGACAGGAATGAAACTCGCGTACTGTCATATGGACAGAAACACTCAGTTACACCGAAACGGATACCAACCGAAGGCATTGTATCTGGTGTTGAAGCGGCTCCATCTCGGCAACGAAAGCTATCTGAGTCTACTAAGGACATCAGAAGTAGAATTGCCTCCACTATACAATCAGCGTTACAACATGGCGGCAACTTGTGGTTCTCCGACATACCAACTCTCCAAGTAGTACAATACTACAGCCGCTCACCGACAAATCCAGACATAAAATACAATCCACCGAGGACTTCATTAGCGCCACTAAGACTGTACAGATACCTGACGACTACAAACTAGTGTCATTTGATGTGAAATCGCTTTTTTTACAAGTATTCCACTTCAACTGGCGCTACAATTTACTGAGACTGCTATCTTACAATCTACCGACCCTCTACCGACAGAGTACTTTATAGACTTACTAAACCTTTGCCTGACGTCAACTTAGTTTCAGTACAAGTAAACAGCAAACAGTTACACGGTACAGCTATTGGGTCTCCAGTTTCTGTTGTTGTAGCAGAAATTGTGATGCAACATCGAGGAAAGCGCCCTTTCGACTTGCCGATAAACGATACCGCTTTGGTTTCGCTACGTTGACGATACTTTCACCGCCGTACGACACCACGAAAGTGACGCATTCCACCACCACCTTAGCGAACAAAACACTGACATGCAGTTTACTAGAGAGGTCGAAGGAATGGTAAATTACCTTTTCTAGACTGCCTGGTAAGCCGTGACGACAATTCACTACGGACAACTGTTTAAAGGCAACCGACACATACCGACAGATTACTGGATGGGTCATCATATACCCCGACATCACTCAAAGCCACAACTATCAGGACTCTTACGCAACGAGCGCAACTAGTATGCAACACGACAGATAGCTTATCCGACGAGAACAAGTGCCTTGACTGTGTTTTTTCTAAGAACAACTACAACGAAGACTTCATCCAACGTAACACTTACCGATCTACTACTACTACTGACTGAAGCTAACGACGACACATCTCATACGACTACAGCAACTATACTGTACATAAAAGGCATATCTGAGAACATCTCGCGCATTTTACAACCATTCAATATCCGCGTCGCTCACAAACCTATCACCACATAACGTCAGTTACTGACTAACGTCAAAGACAAAGACGAACCGAGGAACAGACAGGGAGCAGTGTATAAGATCAATTGCTCCGACTGCCACGCCTCCTACATCGATGACACAGAATGGCAGAAACCTCAAAACTAGACTGACTGAACACAAACAAGTGTTGAGGAAAGGCGATGTCAACAATCACATTGCTAAACTTCACCGACTTACGAACCACACTATTGACTGGGACTCTGCGCAATGCCTAACCTACAGCACCGACTACTTTCAACGGCTGACCTTAGAAAGCTGGTTTACCAACTTGGAACAGACTCCCCTCAACAGATGTCAATCACTACCGGCACCATACAAACGACTCATTCACGACATTAACATTACAAACGAACGAACGGAACGACCTAACTTCCCTAACGGATCAAGACCGACCAATCACGACCGACCTACGCCACTTGAGTCTCAAAGCCAATAACATCACGGCAAAACTGACCAATCAGTTTAAACAAACCGGACCAAGAACATTCGACTGACAACAACTATTCAATTGACTCTGATGATGACTTCTGCTCAGGTTGTCGAAACGTTAGTCACCACTACCGACAACAGTATATCTCAGGACTACACTCACCCGGACGATCGAACTACACTATTACAAAACTATTACTGTACCTCTAACGATATTTTGATGGCATAAGAGAAGAATGATTTCCGAGACTCATAATAGCAGTTGTTATTCAAAACATTTGCTCGTGCATTTTTTTTTTGTTTCAAAATTTATTTTTGTCTTCGAAATTGA